TTTGCACCCCTGGTCGTCCCCTCCAGGGCACCCGGGTCCGTTCCCTGCCCGGCCACGGGGTCACCTTGAGGTGGTCTGGTCGCGCTTCCCTCGCCTCCCTTGGCCGGGTCTACCTGGCGGGGCTGTTGTGCGGCCGGCTTCTCTCTCTGCCCCCGAAGAGCGAAGGCGAGCGGGCGAGGCGGAGAGGAAATGGGTCGGGGGGGCCTCCGCGGGCAGGGTTCGGCCCTTTCCCTCCTGGCCCCTTTGGAGGAGCGCTCGGAAGGCCAGGGAGGGGTTCGAAACCCAGAGGCAGACCTTCAGGCTGGGCTTGACTCCCCCCCTCCCAATTAAAAAGCAAAAAAAGGAGAGAGAAAAAGCAAAGCGTGCTGCTTATATACCAGCCCCTTAGTGCTTCAAGCACTCTCTGGGCGGTTTACAAGTTAATTATGCAGGCTGCACATTAAGTAACTTATCCACGTGCCTTGCCTTGCCCGCTGGGTTCCCACGTGGGAGAGGCACCCCGTCCTCCTTCCTTGCTCCCCAGGACCTCCCAGCAGGAAAGGGAACCCGGAGGTGTAATAAAGAGATTCAGAAAATCGGGGGAACCCAGTGTGTCCTTGCAAGGGCTTTCAGTCTGACCACACCCCTGCCAGGATGCCTGGCCTGAACAGAGACTCGAACCCAGATCCCCCTCTCCCCCCCGTGCAGTTCTGCCCCCTGTATGTAGGGGTCTGTGGTCTGCGGCTGAAGGAGACCCGGTGGGGCCTCTTGTGGGCCGAGGGGCAGCCCGCCTGCAGTTTTGAGCTCTGCCCCTTCCTGGTGAAGAGGGCTTCGGCTCGGCTTTCGTTTAGGTAATTAGCTAGTTTTCCAGTCTTAGAAGCCCCGGTGGCTTACCAAACGATTAAGGAACACCTAAAAAAAGCAACGTGAAGTGAAAACAGAGCAGTTGCATTGAAAAAGCCCCTGCATGAAAACAAAAATTGTGTTGGGAGAACAGAAAGTGCACAGAGAACGGCCCTGCCCCCCGTCCGTTGGCAAAGGATGGGACCGCTCTAGAATCCATGGGAAGGGAGTTCCGCAGGCTGGGAATGGCCACCAAGAAGGCCCCGTCTCATGTCGTCCCGAGAGGCGGGGCTGAGAGAAAGGTCCTGGCCGGAGGTGGTCTTAAAACCCAGGGAAGGTCCTGCAGGTAGGTGCTGCCTGTGAGATAGCCTGGAGCAAGTTGTGCGCACGTCCCAACGGAGAGGCTTCTCAGCAGAGACGGCAGCGCCCTGTGGGAACCCCCACACACACACACACACACACGGCCACAGGTAGCGTCTCCCTCTGGGGTTCAGCTCCTGGAGGACAAGCGCAGGTCAAGAAGAGCCTTTGGTTTGAGCCTCGGGTGAGGATTCTTCGTGTTCTCCGCAGGGGGCCATGTTCCGGTGCAGCGCCGCCTGCTGTGAGGACGGGAAGGCCTCCATGCAGCAGGTCCACCAGTGCATCGAGCGCTGCCACGCTCCTTTGGCGCAGGCGCAGGCCGTGGTCACCCAGGAGCTGGAGAGATTTCAGGTAAGGCAGAGGGACGCCAACAAACGAGGCTCTGGCTTGCTCTCTCTCTCTCTCTGGAATGGCCACGTCTCCCACGTTTGGTGTCTTTCCCTTTCCTTCAGGAGCCGCTCTGCCTGCCACGATTCATGCCTCAGCACCCCCGGGGCAAGCAAAGCGTCTTTGCAACCCTCCCAGCAGAGAGGGCGCTTTCGAAATGGGCCCCAGAGAGCCGCGCATCGGTACTTCCGACTGCAAAACCCCCCAGCCTTTTTCCCCAAGGAAGAGGGGTGGGGTGGGGGTCCTGAAGGAAGGGGTGGGCCACATGTGGCCCTCCAGATGTTCCTGGATGGCCACCCCTCTCCTTCGCTGCCCCTGTAGCCACTGGTAGGGATCACGAGGGCTGCAGCTCAAAAACATTTTTCAAGGCTATTTAATCCACCCCTGAATTAAACAATTGTTGTGGCCAACACACCAAGATGGGGACTAAAGAGCCATTTGCTTGTGCTTTATGCAGCTGGTAAGCTACACAGTTAGGGACGTGGTGGCGCTGTGGGCTAAACCGCAGAAGCCTGTACTGCAGGGTCAGAAGACCAGCAGTCGTAAGATCGAATCCATGCGACGGAGGGAGCGCCCGTTGCTTGTCCCAGCTCCCGCCAACCTAGCGGTTCGAAAGCATGCAAATGCGAGTAGATTAATAGGGACCACTTCGGTGGGAAGGTAACAGCATTCCGTGTCTAAGTCGCACTGGCCATGTGACCATGGAAGATTGTCTTCGGACAAACGCTGGCTCTATGGCTTGGAAACGGGGATGAGCACCGCCCCCCAGAGTCGAACACGACTGGACAAAAATTGTCAAGGGGAACCTTTACCTTTACCTAAGCTACACAGTTGGGGTTGTTTTCTGAATAGGGGGCTCTTTTGGGGCCCAAATAGGGATTTTTGGTACAGTGGGTTAGGATTTGTTTTCATTCTTCATTCATTTCATTAAAAGGTAGTCTCCCACCCCCACCCCACCACCCAAGTTGAATGTTTAATACAGTGACTTGGTTGAACAAAAGCACAGGAGGGTGGCTTTAATAACTGGTTTGCAGTTGAAGACATATGGGCTGTAGTGGGTTAAGATGAAGCGCAAGCCTCGTGGGGCAGCAGAAATCTGTATTGGCTGGCAGGAATTCTGCTCTGCTGGCAAACCCGTCTTTCTGCCGCCTGCTCTCCGAGACCTGATAAAGTAACCGTCTGTTTGTAAGGGCTGCTGGCAGGAGAGCTGAAAAGGGGAACTTTGAAGGTGTAGGGCATGGGGAGAGCCACATTATGCCCGATCCAAGCCTCCTCCGGGGCTGGGCTGTAGTCATGCTAAAGAATTTCTAGCATCCTCATGCTGGGAGCAGCTTCAATACACCACCGCCTCAGCCTCCATCTCGTATCAGCTGGGCTGGTCCTTAGTCATCTTGGCCAGTTAATGATTGTAAATGGTCTTTTACATCCTTCAGTATCTTGGAAAAATCACCTGTATTAAGAGTCTTGGTAATATTAGATTAAATTAAATATGTTTGACTAATTAATAATAAGGAAGAGGATCAATTTTAAACGTTTTAAGCAGTTGACGCCACTGTTGTACATGACATCTCCCAAGTTCTTTTTGCCCCAGGGTAAAAGCTGTAAAAGCAATTTATTTCCATCCTTTCCTATCTCCGCTTTTGATTGTTTGTATATTTCCTCCCCCCCCCATAGGACCGCCTCACCCGCTGTACGATGCACTGTAACGACAAAGCCAAAGACACCTTTGATGCAGGAACCAAAGAGCAGCAGGTCAAGCAGCAGCTGGAAACCTGTGTGACAAAGTGTGTGGATGACCATATTCACCTCATCCCCAGTATGACTAAGAAGATGAAAGAGACATTGGCAGGAATTGCACAGTAGGAATTTGTGGCTCAGAGGAGGAACAGGAAAGGACGGCTGGTTTAAAATTCAGATGGGTGTCAGGAAGCTTGCTGGAAACTCGAATTACAGATCTGGGTACCTCCGTGGTGATTTCTGGTGGTGTCTTGTGATGTGCCCCTGACCTGTGTGGTTTAGAAGATGTTTAAAAGAAAGGCTCCACATGGTAAAGATGAGAAATCCCACCCCCCCAGGTTACATCCGTGGTGATTCTATACATTGGTGTGTGCGCTGATAGCGTTCCTCTCCCCATTTGCCATGGCTGTTCCTTCCTTTGAGGTGATGGTGGGGGCAGGAGAATTTTGATGGTGCTATCCCGGCAGCTCTGAAGATACATTGTTCAACAAGGTTTCTGCCTCACAAACAGGAGACACAGCTTTAAACGTATAGATTTCATGGATATTAGGCAAGACGGGCAATGTTATTATGAGCACAGTATCAGTTCAGGAACTTCTGACCAATAAGCAGAAGTTCTTGTGAATGTGGTGTGTTAATTCCAACAGGACCGGTCTTTGGGAGTCACAGGAAAATTGTCCTCCTGTTCCCTTCCTTTCCCCTCCTCTCTCACATCAAACTGTGAACGGTTTTATAAGACTTTAAATAAAAAACAATTTAAAAAAGTGACAGATCTGTATGTCAGAGATTTTAGGTAGGTGGTGTTCTGAACTACTGTTGCTGTCATCTTCCTATGCCTGTGGAAAAAGCCCTTTTATTGATACTACCACTAGGATGACCGCTCTACATGACCAGTTGCTAGTAATGGCCTAAGGGGTAATATTTTTTTATATAACTTAAAGGGGAGTACCGAGTGCATCTTTACAACTGTTTGTCAAATGTCACAAGAAATGGAGGAGGAAAAAGAAGCAGATTTTAAAAAAATGAGTTCAGATGCGTATTTATTCACAATAACTCCCACTTCTCGTTGCAAGATCTTGAGCTGCAATTCAAAAGTAAGTGCAGTGTATCTTCCTTCCATTCAGAAAGATATGCCAGGAGTTTTCGAGCTGCAATTCAAAAGTAAGTGCAGTGTATTTTCCTTCCATTCAGAAAGATATGCCAGGAATACAATATGACACTTAGTTTTCAATATGCACCCTCAGAAGTGATACCTTATTTAATGGGCTAAAATGCACCCTCAGAAGTGATACCTTATTTAAACGGGCTAAATTACATTGCTAGCCTTCATTGATTGGGTTAATTAACTATTGAATTTAGCCCAGTGGTGCATTCCCAAATAAATATGGGTGTAAACCTTATAGGTCAGTCATAAGATCCTTCTTCCTCGGTTCCACACGAGATGTGTTAATTGTGCACATATTTAAATATATAAGCATAGGTATAGAATCAATAGACGGGCTTTCTGAGCCCCAATAGAACACGTGGAGGAAACAGGTCATCCAAAGGGGGGGGGAGGAATGAGCTCCTGGGCCGCTGATTGGTTGGCGATGGAACTATCGGGGCGGGCAGGAACGCTTGGCTCCGCAGTGATTGGCTGCTAGGTCTAACCAGTCCTCGTCGCAGAGGACTTTGCGCGTTGACCGGCGCGCCGGGTACGCTCCGCTTACGCCTGCGCGCCGGGCACTTCGTGATTGGCTAGAGGGTGTGCGTGTCGCGGTGACGTCTTGGGCTCAGAAGGCGCAGGCGGGAGACCGTGAGATCCAAGGCGACGGGAGGATCCGCGTGAGGAGCGACGATGAGCAAAGCGCACCCGCCGGAGCTGAAGAAGTGAGTCTCCCCGCGGGAGAAGCGGCCGCCGCTGGGCGCTCCGGAGCCGAGGGTGCCGCGGTGGGCTGGTGGGCGGCCGTCCGGCTGGTGGGCGGGGAAGGCTCCGGGCTCAAGGGGGCCGCCTAGGCCGCGTTTGGGGCTCCTCGCTCCCGGCACGCCTTGCGCCCCGGCGGCTTTTCCTAGAGCTACGAAAAGGGTAGACCAACATCACAGCAGAACCTAATTGCTTTCTCTCTCCCCTTCCCCCCCCTTAAGGTTCATGGACAAGAAGCTGTCACGTGAGTAGCGGGGCTTCTTTTTTTTGGGGTCCTCGTGTTTTGGAAGGAGACATGGGCGCGGTGTTTATCATCTTTCTGAGTGGCATTTCTTTGTTTGCATGCTTGTTGTTCTAAGCTTTGGTCTTGTCTTTTAATGTTTCAGGCTGCCTCCTCACCCTCATTGTTTGCAGCTTTAAATATTGTCCTTCAAGCACGTCAGCCGCCTTGGGTCCCATTTAAAGAGAAAAGCCTGAGTAAAAAAATATTTTCAATCAATGTTATTTATTGATTTTGAAGTACTTTTACCTCACCTTTCTCCCACCAAAAAATAAAATTAAAAGGACCCAAGGTGGCTACACCAAAAGCAATACGCACACCACAGAATGGTGAATGTATTCTTTGTATATTTATTTATTTATTTATTGGGTTTTTATTTTGCCTAGTTTGTGGAAAGCACTATTCTGGGTAGTTTACCATCAAAGGGGGCTGAATATCATTGTATCTGCTTATAGCAGTTGATCTTATGAAAAGAAATAGCTTTACAGCTTTATTCTTGCCTATGGTATCGATGCATATGTGCCAATTAAGTATTGGGAGAACCAAAACTAACTTGCTGAGTGTTCTTCACAGTGAAATTAAATGGTGGCCGGCATGTCCAGGGGATATTAAGAGGATTTGATCCGTTTATGAATCTTGTGATAGATGAGTGTGTGGAAATGGCACCAGGTGGACAGCAGAACAACATAGGAATGGTGGTAAGCAAAGATTATTTGAATTTGTTGAAATTATTTAAATCATGCTTTTTGCAGTGTGGAAAGCATCTAGTCTTTTGTAGTACAGTACTACTCCAGAAGAAGATGTATAGTTATAAATGCATGCTTTCACCTTCATTATCTCTTGTACTTCCTAGACAAAGATCCTGTATCGATTTAAGTCTTAAAAGAACAGTTTATATTATTGGCTTGCTTTTAAATGTGATTTTAAAGCCTCTTGGGTTTCTCTGCATATTGTGTAAAGTAGGCTGTTTATTTACACAATTGTATAGCAAAAACTACCCCATGTTTCATTTATATATAATGTGATATGGACACAGAAGCCCGAGTTTTTCAAAATAGACCTTGAGACCTGTTTCCAGAGCATCATATTTGGGGGTGGGTAACCATTCTCCTACGGAAGGTCATATTTCTTTAATTGAGGTGTGTCACTTACAGTGGCCAGGTAGTTCCATTTTTATTTGTTCTTTGGTCCCTGGTTAGGATACTATAAGAACAGGCTCATGCCAAAGGGACTGCTTGTGGTGGGCCACACAGAAGTAATTCAAAGGCCCCTTGCAGCCCACTTGTTGCCACCCAGTTTTGATAAAAGCTGTTGGCTGGAATCCAAAATAGAGCCCAAGTGGAAGTACTTATTATGATAAAAAACAATTATATTTTGATTTCTTTTCATGTGATATGTCTTCTAGCCACACAAGTGGGGTACCATCTTTATAGTTTCATTTCCTTAAATGAGGGTTACCCAGAGTACTTAACAAGTGCTAAGTGGTAAAATAAAAACATTTATCTTTTGAAACCTAAGCACTGAAGCATGATAATTCTCTGTAGCTGGTATGTTTAGCGATTTTTGGAAAAAGGTTATGAAGCTGTATAATATTCCCCTCAAATTCTTTACTGTTAAAATTAATTGGCTGCTTTTTAATCCCTAGGTAATACGAGGAAACAGCATCATTATGCTAGAAGCTTTGGAACGAGTGTAAATGAAGTAATGGATTCTACTACAGTGTAGCCGTCATTTTGTATTATTATGGGTTCTATAGGATACATTCTGTATACATTCTTTGTGTACTTTTTAAAAAAATAAACTGTTAAAATAGAGAAATTGTTTCTGTTGAAAGTTTAATTCAAGTAACATCAGATTTGTATGCTTCTGACTGTAAGGTTGGGGGAACCTGTGGCTTTCCCAGGATTTTGGCTGTCAACTCACATCAGCCTCTTGGCCAGCTGTGGTCAGCCCTAGGGGATTATGAGAGCTATGGTCCAAACGATGAGTGCCAGAAGTTCTCCAGCTGTCTTTCAAAGCATGAGCAGGAATGTAGCAACAAGAAAGTTAACATCAAATCTCTTTTCTATGAAAGTCTTTTCCCTGAAGCAGGTCAGTCAGTAAATTCTATGAGGAGATAGTAGGAAAAAAACGTTCTTTCCAAAGCCTGTACTGGGATCCAGTAAAAGAGTGGGTAAACTGGTACCCATCAGATAATTTATGAACATAAGAGGTAGGCTGAATCACCCTAAAGGTCTCTCTAGTAAAGTTCCATGATTCAGTTCCAGCAGTGGCCAGCCAGATATAGCAACAGGACACACACATACACACGAATCAGGACGAGCTACAGCATCACTTTTCTGCTCCTGTTCCCCAGCAGCTGGTGCTAAGAGGCTAACTGCCTTTGACACTGAAGGCACCATGACAACTATTGGTCTAGCTGGCCACCACTGATCTCTCACCCAGCTTTATAAATTCTTACTGGGTACAGCTCGACAGTGTTCCAGGCAGAATTCTTTCTTGGCTCTTCCTAGTGATCCCAGGTGCTCTCCCTTCAAGTACTAACCAGGCCAAGCTTTGCTTAGTTCCTGAAATAAAGTGAGATCTACAAGTTCAAGGTGATGTGGTGCTACCGTTGGCCGAAGGCTGAAGCGCGCAAGATTCTGTGTGGAAGACACAATATGTGCTTCAGCATCCTCTTATGGAAAAATCGCTTTCTTCAGCCTGGTGTTTGGGCCTACACTTCAAGCATTCGCTGACCACTGGCTGAGGCCAGTGAGCACTGAGGGTACCAGGTCTGAGAAGGCTGGGTTAAAAAAAACAACAACAGAACTCAGCCACACTGTTTTATTCTGCTGCAATAACAAAAGGTCAGTATGCCCAATGGCAGTGCTCCACTAGCAGGTCTGCTGCTACCCTTCTTTTGCCTCCTAGGTAAGTAGTGATCCAAGCAAGTGGTACTCTAATGCTTAAACGTTAACATAACCAACTGCACTGCCATATAAATCTAAGAATGCCTTTATTCTGCTTCTTCTAGTAGGCTTAAAATGCAAGTACTGTTAATTTGGCTGCTGTTCAAACAATATTTGAATATTGTAGTTGTACGCAGCAGCGCTTAGCCATACACAGCCCCCTCAGTTGCTGAAACTGGATTACTCTTGGATGGCAGAATACATCTTACTCTTGATAACAGTAGCATGCCTGACATTAATCTCCCCTAGCAGCAGTGTGTAGGCTAGGGATTTCTGCAAGGCAGAGACACAGCTTAAAGTCAACACCCACTACCTCTGTGTGTTTCAAAATTATCTTTCAAGAGTTGCAAAGACGGATTGTGCCAACAATTTATTTGACTGCCAAACAAACCTCAGTAACAATATGATTGTAAGTTTCTGGTTTTAGCTGCTATTAGTTAGTGGCTCTGGCATATTAGATTTTATTAGTGAGTGTAACACAGAACCTGTATGGTGCTATTTGCCAATCGGTTTGCCTGTTCCTAGTTTTACAAACAAGTGTTCTTTATACGAAGAGAATTTTGAGTGGGAGGCACCCTACCGAGGCATTAAATCCTACTCTCCAGGCTTCATCTCTTGCTGCTCCTTTAAGAATTGCAGAAAACACAGGAATAGTTCTAATGATCCAAACTTCCCTTTACAGAGTCCTATCGTGTATTCTTGCTTGGACGTAGGGTAATAATGAAGAGGTTTGCACCACTGCTATGGGAGAACGGGAGTTGTACACCTACATTCAGTGTTACATGGTAAAGCTGGTTTATATTTGTAAGTGATTAGGCTCTGGCTATTCAAGTAGTCAGTAAAATGAACTTAAAAGTGAGGACCTCTTGGCTCCTGGTGAGTCCTCTACATAATCAGCATTTCTTAATGCAGATGTAGAAAAATACTTGTAGGCAGCCCAAAGGATTTGGGGCAGGATCCTATTAGGATTTTGTGCACACACAGGATGATTTTGCAGGAGTTGTTGCACTGAATTGCTAAGGTAACAGTTGTGGGCTCAACAGACCAGCCTTTTGTGAGAAAGCACGGTTTCTGTTGTGTGCTGGGGGGGGGGAGGAAGCAATAGATTGCCTGTAATGTTTCAGATTTCTTCCTGCACGCAGAATAAACGTTGATAGGAAATCCATTATTTGCAAAGAGTGGGACGTTGGCAGAAATTAAAGAAATGGACACACTGTGTGAAAGAAGTTCTATGTTACGTATTCTTTTTAAACACTTAGAGGTTTTGCTGCTGCAGCGTAGGCTCAATTTCTATTACAGTGTTTGTAGCGTTTTTCTTGGCAATGTGTCTGCTGCCTCAAAGCTCTGTTTTAAGTCTCTCGTGCAAATCTTCCTGATCAATCATGTCCACCTTGTTGTACCAGCGATGGTAAGCCAAGAGTGCTACATTTTTGGCTGAGATGGCACTCATTTCCATGGCACTTGCAATACACTCTATGCTGTTGAGGTAGTACATGTGATCGTGGAGAATGACAGGAGGGCACTTCTCTGGAGGGCTGTAGTGTGGATAAGCAAGCCACTTCTTCTCTTCCACAGCATCATAGGATGAGAAAAGCAAGTTAAGCTGCTCCTTGGTCAAAGACTCAGCTGAGAATGCTTTCCAAACATGAGAGCCGAGAAACGGATCTGTTGTGTTTTGCACTGGAGAGACAACACTAAGACTATAGAAGAATGCATTTGGGTTCTCCATTGTGAAAACGTCACTTAAGGTGAATTGGGAAGGGTCCTTGTAGCCAAAGAGAGAGGCGTTAATCTGCCCGTGGATGAACGTTGTCACAATTGGTTCATATGGTCTGGAGAACCCAGGGATAGATGGTTTGATGTTGTGGAATGCTATGCTGGCAATTTTAGGGTGTAACGGAGTAGCAACCACAATGATATCATATGAATCTGATGTTAATCCCGTTGCAGAATTGTACATAACTTCATAGAATTTCACTGCACCACCTTTAAGAAAAGATTAAAAAATGAAGTACAGTATATAGTTTGCTGTGTTTCAGCTGTCTGACATTTCATTACTGCTTATATTTCTGGTGAGCCATCATCAAAAGGACACTTAAAACCACCATTTCTTCCTTTAGTTTACCAGTATCCTGGCTGTCCTCTTAAGAAGATCCCCCACTTCATTTTCCTCCCCCCTGCTCCACTTTAGCCTCACTGTTTAGTTCTTCTGCGTGTGCGTGAACTTGGCTTTGGATGTTTGAATGGTACTTTGGCACAAGGAAAGCAGTGTGCATCTGTTCCGCTTGTTGAAAGGGAATTTGTGGCAGACTTTGTCCTTGGAATTCAGCTCATGTGCTTAACAAACACAGAGAGAACACCCCTGCCCGCAAGAAACGGCTAAAAGGAAAACCGTTCCACCCAATGATGCGAAAATGCCAGCCTGTGGCTAGAATAAGAGCAGGCAGTGTCGCGTCTTGTGTTTTACAGATAGCTTCAACTGCTCCACTCATTCTGTCCGGTGTTAATGTTTCACAAAAACGAGAACATTGGCCTTTATCTTTCTAGTCTTCCCTGTTCTGGTGAAGAAACAAACAACTAGGTCAGAAGGCCAACTCAAAGCCTCACTCTTCTGAAAGGCTGCTTATTCCTGCCTGTGACCCTTCTCATTCCCACAAAATACCCTCAGTTCTGTGATTCTGAAATAGCAGTTCCAGCTTTTCCCGCCATTTCTTGGATAGATCATGTCAGAGGATCCTCACCTGAGCGTCCTTCTTGCCTGGTTTTTCCTTCTACTGAGAGAACAGTGCCAGGAGTCAGTTGTGCTTTAGAAGCTTCGAGAAGACCAGAACAGGCCCGCTTGTTGCCCCCTTCGATTGACCAAAGTCCAGGATCAGTACCTGTCAAGGCCACTACACCTGGCGCAGAAGGAACAAAGGACAGGGTCAAAAATCGGTACCTTAAAAACGAGGGGGGGGGAATGCTCTCCTGCTATAAAGATTAAAGGTCCTACCTCTGACAGGAGGGCAGAAGGGCTGTAAAACTCTGCTTACCATTTTGGAATGGAAGGCATGGGGTCCTTAACCAAACCTTATATTTAAGGGCTGCTAAAGCCGAATGTTCTACACAATCCAGTGACCCCCAATATCTGCTCAGTTTCCGTAATCCACTGAGAACCGAATATAAAACGACCCAAGCAAAGGAAGGAGAACCAGTGTTAAACAAAGCACCCGAGTTCTTATCCTGTCAACATTCCATGAACTTCTAAATCAGGCTTGTCCAACCTACGGCACGAGGGCCGCATGCGGCCCAGGTCAGCTCGTAATGCGGCCCAGTGCAATTTTTTATTTTTAAAGAAATTCCAAAACCCCCAATATCTGCTCAGTTTCCGTAATCCACTGAGAACCGAATATAAAACTACCCAAGCAAAGGAAGGAGAACCGGTGTTAAACAAAGCACCCGAGTTCTTATCCTGTCCACATTCCATGAACTTCTAAATGATTGTGGAGGCCGATGAACCATTTTAGGCCAATGCAGATAAAAGAACCGTTCTCTAAAGACCAAATGAGCTGTACAGCCTTGATCAGAAGTTGATGCTTTGCCAACTGAATATTGTCAGTTTTTTTAAAACTCGCAGGAATCGATCCTTAAGCATTCAGGATGTGGCCAGAGGCAAGATGAAAAATCTAGGCTGGTGTTCCATTAATTTTTCCTACTGATGGAACAGCTCCTGGATTCCCGGCCGCTCTCTCTGACAGCCTCAGCTACACACAATAGATGCAAAGAGGACCGGCGGAGTTCCTCTCCAGAGGGGCCGAAGCTCAGAGTTGGATTGGCCCCCGAAGAAACACCACCACTTACCCACCAAATTTTCATCTTCTAATATGGCCCAGGGAAGGTGAACGGTTGGACACCCCTGTTCTAAATGACTGTGGAGGCCGATGAACCACTTCAGGCCAATGCAGATAAAAGAACCGTTCTCTAAAGACCAAATGAGCTGTACAGCCTTGATCAGAAGTTGATGCTTTGCCAACTGAATATTGTCAGTTTTTTTAAAACTCGCAGGAATCGATCCTTAAGCATTCAGGATGTGGCCAGAGGCAAGATGAAAAATCTAGGCTGGTGTTCCATTAATTTTTCCTACTGATGGAACAGCTCCTGGATTCCCGGCCGCTCTCTCTGACAGCCTCAGCTACACACAATAGATGCAAAGAGGACCGGCGGAGTTCCTCTCCAGAGGGGCCGAAGCTCAGAGTTGGATTGGCCCCCGAAGAAACACCACCACTTACCCACAAAGCCGTTGATGCTGGCACCTTGTCCATAATTGTACCTCATGACCGGAGTGACAATCTCGTTAATGAACTTCTGAGAGAAGCCCGCTCTCTGCATGGACTCATCCATGGTCTGATTCAGCCTCTGGAGGAAGTCAGAGCCCCCGAGGGCATGGAGCAAGGCCTCGCTGGTACTGAAGGCGTAGTCGTGAGATTGGTAACGATAGATCCTTCAGTCAAAAAAGGGGAGAAGAAGCTATCAGGAATGAGGATCCTGCATTTCTTGCAAATGGGAACAAGCAAAGGAATGCAAGTACAGATACACATGTATTCATTCACTTTTGTTAGGCCTTCCCCCCCTCAACACCCCTCATATGATATATTATTTACTTGTTTCTTTTCTATGTTGCCTTCCTCCCAGCCCAGAGATGATTCAAATGTGGATCTTGCAAATCCCGGTCTGATCTCCTTAATCCTTACCCCGGAATGGCTTTTTCAAACCCGGACTTCATTGCATACCTGATCCTGTTCCTAAATCCCCTACCGGACATTGTCTTTGCTGTACTTACTCAGGGAACTGGGTCTTCTACTCGTTCCTAAACTCTCTTCCTTATAAACAAAGCCCTGTAATTATATTCCTAGCTTTTTATCATGGTTCTCCTTAACAAGCTTATTAAAACCTGCGGTTGGGGGGGGGGCGACAGAATGGCGGTAACAACTTTCTAGTGCCAGGTGACAACTGGCCGGTGCGTCTTCTCACCTCATAAATTTGTCCAGGATTTCTTCTTCCCACAGGTACATTCGCAGGCCATTCAGTCCGTAGTGCCAGAGGAGTTTGAGAAAATTCCAAATGTACCAGCCGCTCTCCTCAAAGACAAGTTCCTCTCCACTGTAGAAGCCTCGGAGTCCATCTTGTATTGCAGAAACGGACAGGCCTGCAAATTCGACCGCAGAATCGGTGAGCTGAGAGAGAGGGCCACCCCCCGCCCACCCCCGCTTTCTGAGGGATGTTCCTGGCCTTTCCTAGAGAGAGCAACGAGATAACATTTACTGGGAAAGTTCCGAAGATAAACTGGGGCCACATATGAGCTCCCCCCATGTGTCCTTTCAGAATGACAGGTTTAGGAGAGAAAGCTCTTGAAATGATGAGAAAAAGTTCATTTTCTTTATGCTGTACTGTACATCTCAGCTAACATTTCCACATTTTGCTGGTGGTCTCCTCTAACGCCACACCTGTTGCCCCCGTCACTACTGTCTGTCTCTGCTATGATGTTACCTGTAAGATCTTGTATATCTGCCTGGGCATTGGGACAGTTGTGATCCTGTATTCAATACCCTCAAGATATAAGCACAGAACAGTTCCTTCCTTTTAGGAGCAAACCCTCTGCGTCCTGGCAGGGGAAAGACAGTAGAAGAAGGGGCCAGCACGGCCACAGTCGGTGCACACGGACCAACGCGTGATGCGCAAAGGTGTGCACAACTCCAGAAAGAAAATCTGGTCCTTCTTTGGAGGAAATAGGGATGACTGTTGCAGCAGTAAACATGCGGGGTTACAAGATAGATGGTGGTCCCAGGGGAAACAGCATCCATACCTAACTCCTTGACAAAATGTTTCATGTGCAGGTTAAGAGGGTGAATGATGGTTCCTCCGGCTTCGTAATATTTTCCTTCGACGTTGAGAGTAGCCAAACGGCCCCCAACTTCTCCCTTTTCAAACACATCGATCTGGACGTCTCTGCCAAACTTCTGGCGCAGAAAGTAGGCTGCTGAGGTGCCCCCGATGCCAGCGCCAATCACACCTGAAATGAAGAAGGGGGGGGAAGCAAAGTGGAGAGTCTTGTGATACCTTAAAAGCTATCATAAGCTTTTGCAGGTGTCGGAGTGCCTTGGCTGTTAGCCTGTGGGTTGTTTTGCAAAGCACAATCCTCGCCACTCAATTATGAGGCTGTGGCCACTTTTCCAGCGTTGTGATCAAGGAAATGGGCGTTGATCACAGATCGGCAGCTTCACGGGGTCCTTTTCTCCTAACGCCTTTCCTCAAGCAGGCCTCTTCATGACTGGGGATCAGGCGGAGTCTGCTTGGCAGGTCTGAACCAGCCTAATAAAAGGAAGGGCTCTGCGTGCTCCTGGCTTCTTCCGGGGAAAATTTTAAAGGAGAATCAAGATGAACGTCTCTCTCAACAGGGCGTCTGACCGAGGGGTGCATTTCAAAGAGCCCAAAGAGCCAAATGGGCTGTTTCAATTCTGGATTAAACAGTAACCTAAGTAAGGGCAAAACATTAATTAACACACCTGCTGTTTAATTAACAGCAGATGTGTTAATTAAAACATCTGCTAATAAGGCCAAAGAACTAGCTAATGAATGTCATTGTTAATGAGGACTCATTATAATTTTGCAACTGGATAGACAAGGCTCATGGCTACATAGATATGAACTATTGATCTACAGACTGGGCATGTACTAATGGGATCAAAGAACTGGTTAATGCATATCATTGTTCATGGTGATTCATCATAATTTTGGAGGTGGGTAGACAACATTCATCGCTATCTGGATAGGAACTGTGGATCTACAGGCAGGGCCAACATAGGCCTCTTTGACCCTTTTGCACTGGCTGCCGGGATGCTTCCGGGCCAAAGTCCAGGGGAAAATGTTAAACGTATAAAGCCCTGCATGGTTCAGGACCTTGCTACCTGCCTCCGCCTCCGATTGACTTCCCCTCTTAACGCGCGGCACCGCCCAATCCTTGATGCTGCAGGAAGGTGGCCACCACAACAAGGGAGGCCCGGAAGCCGTCAACGGGGACCTGGGCCTTCTTACTAGGGGCCACCTTGCTGTGTGAAAGTGCATCAGCCTCTCCCCCCCCCCCCCCCCCGGCTTTTCACCCAGGCCTTGGAAATCCACGATCCTCTTTCATTTAATTATTATGGAATTATGTGACAGCCCTGCGCGTATTGTTTACTGCACACCATTTCATAGTTGCACCTGTTTCCACCAAGCTGGAAGTTACAGTATGTGGTTTCTGATTTGGAGTTTTTTGGTTCATTGTTTTAAAATATTTTTGTTACAAAATATTTTCATCTTATTTTGCCCATCTTAGAACCCTTTTTCTCCTGTCTTTGCCAGTAACATCATAAACCAGAAAAAGGATCTTCAGTAGAATCTTCAGTTTACACATGGCTAGTCTACCAAACCATGAAAGTTTGTCTCGTCTTCCTGAATTCATGCAACTTATTTTTAATTCCTTGCTTCAATATATCTCTTTTCCTTTTTCAAATGTTGCAAATGCTTTTGCTTAGTTACTAGCAAAAACTTCAACAGCCTTTGTATATTAGCATCCACATTTCCCCCCTAGTGATCTCCAAACTTGTGTCTGATTTATACCAACTCGTCTGTAACCACGTTTTCTCTCCAAAGTCTCTCCGTAACCCTAAAGCTCTTATCGAAACTCAGCCTTGGGGTTACAATTCTCCTTCTACTGATGCTCTAACTGCCGGGGGGGAGGGAGAAAGATCTCTATCACCCCCACCAAGCTCCCTTCAGGGTCCCACACTCCTTGGGGAGCAGTCCTCCCTTTTAGACTACAACGCCCAGCATCCCCCAGACAGCAAAGCTCCGCTCCCTAAAAAATCCCACACTCCTCGGGAGGAGCGTTCCCTTTTGGGGGGGGGTGATGGGTTGGGTTGGGGGGAGGA